TGGAGGGAGGCTGGAGTCCAGACAGAGCTGAACAGAAGGAAGCACTAACCCCACACAGCTTGTGTGTGACCAAGACAGCATCTGCAAGCACCTGTGACAACACAAAGACTGAGCACAACACTTGATTTTAGAAACTTCAAAAGCTAACAGTGATACTAGAAAGTGTTTTGCCATCTTTTTTACCAAAGACAAAAAATAAAAACAACAGCAGCAACAACAACAACAATAAAAAAAAACAAAACCAAAAACCTGCTTATAGGCATGGTAGAGCACTCCTGTGGTCCTAGCATCTCAAGCGGCAGGAAGACTGCCAGAATTATGAAGTTTATGAAGTTGGCCTGGTCTACATAGCGAGTTCCAGGTCATCCAAGACTTCAGAGCAAGACCTGGAGGAGCAGGGATCTCTTACCTTACATATTAGAAATCAATAGAAAGATACTTTATAAATTTTTACAAGTATTGCTAGTAAAGTTCTAAACAAAAATTTCATGGAAGCTGTGGAGATGGCTCAGTGGGCAAAACACTTGAAATGCAATGTGGAGACTAAGTCTGAGTCCTCAGAACCCATGTAAAGATGGACACAGCAGTGCACATGCTCATCACAGGGCTGCAAGGCAAGATGGGAGGCAGAGACAGGATCCCTAAAAGCAGGCCAGCTAGCCTGAGGTTGGCAGTACCAACAAACAGATACTGTCTTAAAGAAGAGGGGAAGCTGGAAAAAGACCTCCACTCACATGTGGCATGTGCTTGCAACACACATGTACATGTATCTCACACACACAAAGAATTTACAAAATTCAGAAATGATCTCTTCAGGGGAGCCTGGCAATCACACTACTACTGTTCCTGCTATATCCCGCCATCACTCTGACGATGTCATATTTTCTTCTCAAATCTGTTACAGTCTCCTTTCCTCCTTGCTCTCCGCTGATGACCAACTCCCATAAAGTGGACAGAAACACTCAGAGAAGACTTGAAGCGATTACCATCATGTCTCCGTCCGTGTTCTGCTTTCTCTCCCATGTCTACAGTAGCACGCTCTGCTGGTAAAACACATGTAAAGCTAGATCAAGCCTGCAAACCACAAGGCCTGCCACCTGCAAGCCACCTGCAGCTGCTCTCACACTACAGAATAGCAAACTAAGGGTCAGTGAACAAAGGAACATTTATCATCTTAATTCAGAACCTAGCCCAGACAGCGATCAAGGTGGAACAAAGCATTTTCAGCAACATAAACAATTCAAAAGGTTCACTCTGCTATACATAATTTTGTTATAAAACAGTCTCACACTTTGTCCCAGACTAGCCTGGAACTCCCAGAAACCCTCTTGCCTCAGCTTTGAAGTGGTAGGATTGGTTTTTTTTGTTTTGTTTTTGTTTTTGTTTTTTGGTTTTTCGAGAGAGGGTTTCTCTATGCAGCCCTGGCTGTCCTGGAACTCACTCTGTAGACCAGGCTGGCCTGGAACTCAGAAATCCACCTGCCTCTGCTTCCCAAGTGCTGGGATTAAAGGCATGCGCCACCACTGCCAGGCAAGTAGTAGGACTGTTAAGAGTGAGACATCTTAAAGTCAACAAAAGATGCAACTCACTCAAACAAGAAAAACTGAAAAAGGGGTGGGGGTGGGGGGGACATGAATCCAGAGAGCACAGGCTCCAGTGCCATCAAACTGGACACCTGCCAGACGTGCAATGATGAGAAGCCACAGACTCAAGCTGTGCAGCTCCAGCACAGAGCAGCACTGCAGATCTGAGCAAGAACAGAGGGCTTAGGAGACCCCTTCCCAATTTTTAAAAAGTTTGAATATTTATTAACCTATGTGTTTATAGATTTGGACAGACCATAGAAAAAGGTAAAGACAAATAAGAAAGTGAGTAAAATTACAAAAGAAAACAATCTAACCCCAAGAAATTTAATCATAGTATACAGCAATGTTCAACTGTTAAACATATTTACAGATTCATAATAATATAAACAATGAAATCAAAAGCATGACATCACAGTACAGGGAAGACAACAGAGAAGTTCAAGATTACAGGAATCCTACAGCAAAGCCACTGTAAGAAATCTAAAGTTGGGGCTGGAGAGATGGCTCAGTGGTTAAGAGCACTGACTTCTTCCAGGTCTTGAGTTCAATTCCCAGCAATCACATGGTGGCTCATAACCATCTGTAACGGGATCTGATGCCCTCTGACAATATTCTTAAATAAATAAATAAATAAATAAATAAATAAATACTTTTGTAAAAAAAAAATCTGAAGTTGAAAAATAAAACTGCAGAACCATGCACTCATGCAGGAGAAAGAAAATAAGACACAAAGTATCGAAAGAAACAGTCAATTATATCAAAAACCGCTGCTTTGTAAGCAGGACCTAGGAAGAAGGGCATGAAGAGAGAAGGCAATTTTTATGCAAAGTCTTGAAGGGTAACTTTTAACTGTATTAGTTAAAATACCAACTTCTAAAAAAAGAACAAAGTGGTCATATCATTTAATATCAATTATTTTACTCTCTGGAGATAATCTCTGACCAATAATTGAACATTAAGTGTCAGGTACTTTTCTAAGAAGGGAGGAGGAAGGAGACAGAGAAAGGAGGAGGGAGGAGGGAAGAGGGAGAAGGGAAGAGGGAAGAGGGAGAAGGGAAGAGGGAAGAGAGAGAAGGAAGGAGGAGGTTGATGATTAAAACCCATCTGGACTATTTAGAATGAGTTCTTGAATAAAACTTGAGAACCAAAGAAAATAAAACTATAAAGCATGAAAAAGGAAAGAGTACAGATTAATTAAAAAATACTGAAGTTTTATCATATCCAATCTTCATTCTCATTAAAAAGGAGCTAATGGGAATTTAAAACACAAGGAAGTAATTATAGAGTAATGCAATAAACTCACTCTTTTCCAGGGGACCTATTTCAAGCTATCTGAATTATGTTTTCATTGAACACTAAATAACTATTAAAAAGTGTGAAATGCAGACAGAAGTAACCATCTCAAAAGCAAAATTAAACAAAAGCTCACATTCAAAAAACAGGTCCATTTTAATGCATTTTATTCTCAAAAGCTTGTATGTGTTCATTTTCCATATCAAAGGAAAACAGGGCTTTAGAGAAAACAAAGGCAGTTTTAACTAATAGATTATCGGTTAAAAGCTTCTTGGAAACTTCTGGAGGCTAGTAGTACATTAAGTGTTCAGCTGTGCACCTTCCCCAAAGCTCTACACTCCAGAGGCTGGACTTCACACTCTAGCATCAGGACAGTCTGGGTCTGGGTCACTGTATGATTACTGATAGCTGGTCTCCTGTGAAATGAGGAGAATAATGCCTGCGTAGGGTAAAGGTTAACTACTGACAGTCCTAAGAAGTAACCAATTATTCATAAATACTTTCAAAGCTCTGGATCTACAAAGATCTACACCAATGTGTGTCACTGTGATTATTAATCAGAGCATAAACTAATCTCTGCTCATCAGACTTTTCACATCCAGTAAGATTTTTCTTTAACAGAAGGATAGACTGCTGTTTCTCTGGAGGGAGGGTGTTGGTTTATTTCCCTTGAAGACTCTTACAAACAAATACCAAGAGAAGAATATCAGCACACATTTCATTTAAGTATATAAACCAACAGATTAATTGTTTAGCCACATATAAACCACACACCCTCTGACTCCAGGTAGAGTATATTTAGAGTATGTTTGGAAACCAGATACCTAGTGTGTTTAAACATAAGCACAGTTTAAGACAACTGTTTTGCTTTTATCCACTAACAGTTCCTTCTATTCTCAGAAGGAAAAATGCAAGCAATATCCTAACTCAAAAGGCACCGTGAGTTTTTACTTTGACTTTTAAACTAACAGACCTGCCCACTTACCATTTTATCTCCATCACAGCACACATGCTTTTTTATTCTGCAGCATCCCCTCCACATCTACCAGGATACAGCAGTAAGCAGGTGCACTCCACGTGTGCAGAATTAACTAGCCTCTAGACAAAAGCTTAAAAGCTTTTAATCCCAACACATCATAGGCAGAGTCAGGCAGATCTCAGGCAGTTAGAAGTCAGCCTGGTCTATGTAGTGAATTCCAGTACAGCTAGCGCTACAGAGAGACTCTGTCTCAAAAAAAAAGTTTCAAGTTGCAATAAATTAACATTAACAACAAAGCCATCTTTCATCGAAGGCAACCACTGCCCCAATTTTAAGTGTATGGACTATTATAATAAACTAAAAACGGTATGCTCTTTTTTTTTTTAATGCACACAAATTGCATTATTCACACATGTCTGGTTCACAGTTATCTTTTAAGTTTTATTTTCTCTCAGAATTTTTGGGTGTATCTTTCCTGATACTGTAATACCAGAAAAGTATACTGGGATCTTGACACACAAGCAGATCTTTCAGCTTCTGCTGCAATCTGGTGAAAAAAGACAGAGAACAGTATTTCCAGAAAAAGTCAAATCTCTGAAATGGTAAGAAAGAATGAACTGGGTCTTACAATTTCAAAATTACTATGCCAGAATTTAAACTCAAAATAACTACACTTAAATCATTCAAGGGAGCTCTAATAAACACATTTAATGTATACAGGTGGATAAGACAAGTAATTTTCCACATTTTGAAGCTTCATGACTACACATGTTTGTTCACTAGAGGTTATTATGATTAAAATAATACTGTTCGGCTACAAATCCCACTTCTGCAGTAACAGTATTACGCTTACTATATTTATGATGCTACAGCGCAAACAATCATATCTGGGTGGGACAGTTTGCGTTACAGTTTGCAAGTTAACGAACTGTGGCACTGCGGTACTCCTTCATGCAAGGAACGAAAAGTTCCACAACATTCTAATGGTCATCTTCAAAGACACACGACCTCGAGTCCACCGGATGGTAAACATTACATAAACAACGCCAAAGTCAACTCATAAACAAACACCGACACCGAAACAAAGCTCTAGCGTTATTTAAGTGTTATAAGGGGAGGTGTGGGGGATGCAGAGCACCTACGAGGAAAGGCTCAATTAACTGCAGCCCCGGCTTTCATCCTCCGATCCTAAACAATGGGCGCTGGATGCTGTCGCTGGAGCGCTTTCTGCAGAGCGATTTCGGGTTGCAAACGCCCCTCCTCCACAGCCACCATCAGGCCCCTTTCTTCCTCCTCCCTCTCCCCTCCCAGCTCAAACAAATTAACATTCGTACTAAGGTACCTCCTATCAGCTCGCAGCTTCTTCGCAAACACGCCCACGCACCCTGAAACCGGCCTGCGTCTACACCGCACACGGCGGCAGGAAAAGCGCTTCGAGGGGGGCGGGGAGCCAGCCGCGGCAGCGCACAGGTCCGGGCTCCCTTCCAGGTCAGCTCCCCATCGCCTCCCAAGCCCGGTGTTTACGAGCCCGCCTAAGCCCACACAGCGAAGGAATTCCGGGCGCTGCGGGCAGATAGCGCGGCGGTGCGGGAGCCCCTCTCCGTGTCCGCGCGCGGCCTCGGCGCCGCTCGCCCCGCGCTCCGCGGGCGGTTCGGCCCCGCAACAGGTCACCCGCCTCAGCTCGGTGAGGGGTGCAGGCGCCCTGCCCGAGAGGGGGTGTGGCTGGCGCGGCGGGGCCCGGCCCCGGCTCACCTGAGAGGCTGAGGCGACGCCGGGGCCTCCGCCACCGCGGGACCGCGAGCGACCCGCAGCCCGCCCTCCCGCACCGCGCAACGCGGCCGCCGCCATTGCCCGCGCCTCCCCGCACGGCCGCCCGCCACGCCGACCTGTGCAGCCGCGGCCGTCGCCTCCGCTTCGCCCGCAGCTCCCGAGGCAGCGCTCGCCCAGCCGAGCAGTCGGCGTCTCTCATTCAGCGCCCGCCGCCGGCGCTCGGGGGAGGGGAGTGCGCCGGATCCACCCCGGCCGCGCAGGGGGCGCGCGCCGGGCGGGCGGGGCGGAGCGGCGCGCGCACCAACCGAGCGCGCTCGCGCGGCCGGGAACGCTGTTGGGTCGCCGGGGTCTCGGCGCACGCTGCGGACGCCGGGCTGTGCTCGCCGAGGCCAACTGCCGCCCGTACCGGTGTCCGCCGCGCGTGCCCCAGCCGCAGCCGCTGCCGCAGCGCGGGCTGCAGGGCTCAGGACGGACAGGTGGGGCCCCGCGGCTGCTCCCGCACGGTGTCTCGTTGGCGCCTGCGACGCGGACACCGCTCAGGCCAGAGGACAAAAGTCTGGAAACGCTTGGCCTCCAGATCACACACCCAGCCCGTGCGGGCGGCGTCCTTAGGAGTCGTCGCGGACAAGTGGACGAGCTGCAGATGTGAAGAGACCCCACAGCCGTGGGATCCTAAATGATGGAGTCGGTACTCTGGCACAGTATCATGCCGGAAGTGTTGGGTCGGCCTCTTTAGGTGTTAAGCTGGGTGGCTGCCCCTGGTTTAATGAGCAAATAACAGAATATTTGGCATCCTCCCCCCCAGTCCCAGATTGATGAGTTCCAGGTGAACAGTATTTTTACGTCCTCGCGGGAACGTGATTCTAAAAGGTGAAATTTTTCCTGCGAATGGAAGGGTGTTGTTTCACGGGGTGCACCTAGGTGGCCTACTTAAACTTAGCACCGTTTGATGCAGTGTGACTTAGTGGAAGGTTTTCAGTGAGCCACCTTGGTGTGTCATTAGGTCATTCGGGAATAGATTCGGTCCTTTTCTAGGCGATATGCAGTAGAGGGTGGAGGGACAATTCAATAGCAGCACCGAGTGTAGATTGTGAAGGGACTAAAAGTGTTCGTTTGATTTCCTTCCTCCCTATAATAACTAATAAAAACAACGGATTATTCTTTTATGCAGAAGAAAGTTAACCACTGTCCCCCTTGACTGCCTTCTGTGGAGAAGGTAGAATGCCCCTTCATCCCCTTGGTTAAATCACCCCTGTGCAAAAGTAGATGTAAGATAGAAACGAAGCAAGGAAATGCAATAAAGTCCAGTGCTGATTTTTATTGCATTTTACGTTGGAATCACTGATCGATGCACAGAAACCAAAAAGAAGAAAAAACTGTCAGAAAATTTCAAAGGAGCATAGACTAAAGAAAAGGGGGCGGGGCTAAGAAACACTATTGACAAAAAGGCTTCATGAGAATTGTGAGTTTTCACTTAGATGCTATTTGCTTCAAGTCCCAAAGAAACAACAGACAAACTGAAGTTAACAGTTGGGAGGGGGAAAAAAACCCTTTGGGTTACTGAGTAAATGATTGCTATTTCTTTCCCCAAGTTAGAGATTAAGGAAGGGAAAGGTGGGATGGCTATGTGCCAACAATAATACATTCATATACATATATATATATATATATATATATATATATATGTATATGTATATGTATATATATATATATATATCATTATCCCAAGTTATTAACTGCTTTTAAAGTAGGAAAAAACAAGGAACCTCGGGGAATTTCATTTGGTATAAATGTCTTGCAGCTACTTTAAATTTGAATTGGGGCTTCATAAAAACAAAGCTCCCATGTCCTCACATCTGCCAATAATTTTCACAGTTTACTGTAAAAGCAATGAAGTTTTCACTCCAACTTTGAATCGAAAAGGCCCAAGTGTTCGTGGATTTATATAGTAGATTCCTATGCCTATAGAATGTCTGAATTTGGAATAAGTCACTCAAAATGGATTGCTCATGTTGACAGCCTGCAAAACCACACTTTTATTAACCTGAAGAGCTCAGTATTTTCTGAACTTGATAAGGTGGAGAATTTCTGTATGGAAATATATTTAAAAACAACAACAACAACAACCAGAACAGGCAGGGCTACACGGAGAAACCCTGTCTCAAAACAACAACAACAACAACAACAACAAAAAAAACCAAAAACCTGGGAGAAGCTAGGAAGATGACTCAAGAGGCAAAGGCCATAACCTGGCAGGCCTGGGGATCAGAGTTCAATCCCTGCATGATGAGTAAAAGGCTAGACGTGGCAAGCATGTGTAATCTCTGAAATCCTGCAGGGAAATGGGAGGTAGAAACAGCAGACTTTTGGCTGGAAGCTCTTGGGCCAGTTAGCCTGGAATATAATTGTGCAGCTCCTCAGCAGAAATGAAAGAGACCCTGCCGCAATCAAGTGGAAAGTTAGAGCTGCCCTCTCCCCACAAGCTATGGCCTGGGTGCCCACAAAAAGAGAAGCTGGGTGTGGTACTGGATTTGTAATCCCTGGGCTCAGGTGGCTGAGGTGGGAGGACTGTCTTCTATTCCAGGCCAGCCTGGGCTACATTATAAGACCCTAGCTCCAAAAACCAAAAAAGATACAAAACAGCTTATCCTTTTGTGGTTTTGTTGTTTATAAACCGTGAGTTATTTCTCAGTCTCTTCCCCATCCATTTATATGTAAATGAAGCAATGACTATTTGCAACAAATTTTCTTTACCAGAGCATTAATTTTTTGTAGTTCTGTAAGTTGCTCTATGAGACCCATTTGCTTTTGCCAAAAGAAGAAATATGCAGAGTCTTAGAACAAAAAATGCTAATGGATATAACAGAAATGCTATTATATAAAATAGAAATCGATAACAATTCAATATGCTTTAAAAGTCATTTCGGGGGAGTCACCATTGTGTAACAGTTTTATTACTATGCATTACTTCCAAAGGGTAAGCCAAGGGACCCATTTAGATAGAGAATTAGCACTTCAAAGGCAAGACACCAAGACAGCAAAAAGCAGATCAACAAACGATGCATCTCATTGTCAAAACCAATCAGATGGACATCTGGAAGAAACCTGTCAGTTATGGTTCCAAATGCTCTAAAATATAGGCAAAGCAGGATATTCAAAACTCTCTGGGAGGGGACAGATGTAAGAAAGAACCTCAAAGGGTTCTGCAGAGAACAGTTTGAGGAGAGTCTGCTAGACTCTCAGTGGAGAAAGACATGCTATAGTTTCCAAGCGAAGTTGATCAACAGGGTATTCAAATATGAGTGTCATACTGAATAATTTACAATTAAGCTATTCCTTACAGGAGGAATTTTGTGTCAGGCATGAATCTGCAGAGATTTATTTAAAGATGATTAGTATTTTCCCTGGAATTCTCTTTGGGAGCAAGTTTATGTATAAATTTTTGAATTTTTAAAAGTTTTTCAATATCAGAAACAGTTTCAGGGGCTGGAGAGATGCCTCGGGGGTTAAGAGAGCTGGCTGCTCTTCCAGAGGTCCTGAGTTCAAGTCCCAGCAACCACATCGTGGCTCACAACCATCTGTAATGGGATCTGATGCTGTCTTCTAGTGTGTCTGAAGACAGCAAAAGTGTACTCATATACATAAAATAAATCTTAAAAAAAATAAAGACAATTTCAGCAATTATTTATCTGACATGATTATTAAAGAAGTTAAGGGTTGGTTATTCTAGATTAACTGGGTTTTCATCTTGAAGTACTAGAAACAGTTTAAATCTTTTTCATTGTTTTTTCTTTGAACTCTCACTACCTTTTTGCTTTAAACTAATAAAATACCATCCAGCTTATGACTCAGCAGTACAGAGTTTGTCTGGCATGTTCAAGACCCTGGGTTTGGTCTGCAGTATCACAAGAAAACAGAGCACAGTGCATCTGAACCTTTCCGCATTGTGTCTGGTGTGATATAGGATGTCCTCAGAAGCTCATGGCTACTCTGTTCCTGCAGCATCACGGATCTGGCTGAGAACTGAGTTTTTTTGCTGTCCTGGTACTGTCCCTGCTACTGTACCACTGCCTTGCTGTAGTCACACACACACACACACACACCTGCACACACCTCCCTCTGAAGTGCCTTATAGTATGTGGAGTACTCTGGGGGAAACATAGTATTTTAAACAAAACAAAAATGCTAAAACAGCTCTGACTTGGGGGCTATGTATTTAGCAGAAAGTCCTTTTGTCATCTCTTCCTCTAAGCTTGGATAATTGCATTTATTTATCTGGTAGCTTTTTTCCAAGTAAGTGAATTCTGTTCAAGTTTCCTTATGAGAAACTTAAATATAACTTTTCAGATGTTTTGGAAAGAAAAGTTAATTGTCCAATATCACATCCATTTCCTTTTTAAATATCAAATAGATTCAAATTTTAAAGGAATCATACATCTATACTAATAATAAACAGCTTGGCTAGGGATATAGGTCAGTAGTAGAGTACTGACAAC